TAAATCTTGGGGATGGAGTCCATCTCTTTGCTACCCGAGTTTTACACATACTTTCTGTGTTTACGAAGACATTCATTGACGTGCGTGTGTGTTCCTTTTTTTTGCGGATTGTATTTTACAGCCACTTCGACCACAAGGCTACAATCAAGTGACAGGGGAGTATATGGGAGACCGTTAGGAGTCGCACCTAATAAATAAACTCCTCATCTAATCTGGGAGAGACTAGCAGGCTTCCCATGAGTTTACCCCGCCCCAGCCTTCGGATATTTGAGTACTAATTGCAAAGCACAATAGAATAAGTTGGCTTCATTCACCTGACACTGAAAAGCCCCCGAAATAGCAGTGCTAGACAGGACGACTATGGAGAGGTTGTTAAAATCTCGAGGTCATTCTAGACTGCCTAAATCGCAAAGGAGTAAAGTCCCGATCTGTAACTACAGCGCGCAAACACTTGCATCTTAGTGCTCGGTAGAGAACTTGCAGGTTATGCAGGTAAAAGGGTAAGGTACGACGTCATTGAACTGCCTGAGCGGAGAAGATACCACCCATTCAACGCAGTCCATGTCTCCATAGAAAACCAATTCCTAGGAACATGCGAAAAATGTAAAGTCGGCATCGTCGGCGTTCTCATCAACACGAGTTTGGCCATGAAAATGGATTCATTCGAAAAACCAACAACTAGAATCAGACGTTTACGATCGAACAGACATGGACCATTACCAGATTTGATAATATTCGTCGTTTACGCGCCGACATCAAAATTTGACGAAGAAGAAGTCGAAGCGTTCTGTATGGATTTGGAGAAGTTCTACAGAGAAGATCATGCATTCTTTAAGTTGTTTATTGAAGATTTTAAAGGTAACATTGGACCGAGAAGAGTTTCTGAGTGACATTAGTGACATTACATTGGGACCCACGGACTAGAATGGAAGGAGCAAGGTGAACGGCTATCCGAATTTATTAAATCATAAAATCCATGGTAACTCGCAATTTCGGATGCCCTGCTCTTAACACTAGATATGTGAGTCTCCCAATGGAGAGTAACATAGCGAGAAACACAACATATGCAAGATTCCATTTCTCGCAGAAAGGAGAGAAAGCAGCCAAGTTCAAAAGACGAGGTCCTAAAACCACTGTAAACTAGGATTTATTCATTTAATTATTCGGCTTTTGGGAAGGCACCGCTCTCAATAACATCGACGAGGAATACGATCGGCTCATTTAACGCCTTCACAACAGTACTATGAAAACTGAGAGCTCGAAATTCATCAGGCGACGTCTTTCTTCAAAAACACTCTAGCTGATGCTTTGAGATGGTATCGCACGAAGTACAGACAACAGCTAACTCATGTCCGAACTTCCGAACTAGCAAAACGGTGTAGAAAGACGATAAAAGATTACCTTAAACAGAGAAGAGCAGTAATAATTTTAAACAGGAAAAGAACAACTGTGGACCATCAATTCGGATCGGCGGCTCTGATGAGCACGAAGACATCGAAACGCTAGCCGAGTGGTACTTGCTTATCAACTTCGTGCAAGCTCAATAGTTTAAAACATGCAGCGGTTGTAGTTGAAGCTGCAGAGGTTGGGATAAGTATTCGCAAAGCCGCCGAAACTTCGCCAATTACTGAACCGAGATGATTCCTTTCCACGGGCCAGATGGAACATTTACAACTTCCAGAAAGGTTATGGAAAATATCATATTACTACGCGGATCTCTTCAGTAGTCACGTTCTATTTTTCTCATGTGAAATAAAAAAGGATAGGTATATCGTCCCATCGATTGTGAAGCACCGGACAACACTAGGTGTGGAAAGGGTAAGATCTGAACACTTGAAGGACCTTCCGTCAGTCCTTATAAACACAGTGGCTCGGTTGTTCATATGCTACCCGTCAGAATTCGAGGTTCCCATTCAATGGAAGACCAGGAAAACTCTGTTATTGTCCGAGAAGGATAGCCTTTACGTTATCGGCAACTATTGCCCAATCTGGTTTCTCTTTGTCATGTGTAAATTTTTCATTCGAGTTATCCTAAACAGGATTGAAAGAACGAACACTGGACAAAGGACAGCCTTGTGGACAAGTAGGGTTTCGAAAAGGATCCAGTGTAATGGACCAAATCCGCATAATAACAAGGTAATAATAACAATAATAATAGTAAGGTAATAAGGTAAATAGTAATAAGGTAATAATAATAACAAGTTGAATGAAGTATTGCGAGAGTACAAGAGACCGCTCTATCTCGCTTCCATAGATTTAAAGAAAGCCTTTGACTCAACGTTAACTTTTTATTTGCTGGCTACTACAATATTACACGGCAGGGTGTTATGTAAAAAATAACTTTAATGATGCTGAGATATTTGCACAACTCCGGACCTCAAGTGTGAGCTTTGGGGAACGAAGGTATTCACCACTACGCCATGCGGGTCCTTCGTTTCGCCCTTCTCTCAACCGTGTTTTACAAGTCCAGTCAGCAATCTTCCGTCAACGGAATTGATCTGGGGAGTGCAAATCGGCATTGAACCCAGTGAAGCTGAAGCTGTAATTGAAATCACAACGTTAACTTTTTAAGTGGTGCCTACTACAATTTTTCACTTTGTTTCACAAAATACCCTTCCGTGAAGTCCGTCACGTCAAACGTTGTGTAGGAGGACTACCGTATAATGCTCGACGAGTCCCTAAAGCGAGCAGAACCCACTGGGCCACTTTTGCACGCGGTAGGGAGAAGTGGAAGATTTAGTGGCGCCCACTGGAGTCACTCGACGATCAACGAGATGACGGGTGATGCAGGTAATGATCGTTGGTTGTGGTTAGGGACTTTCACCTAGGCGACAGAACTACTCAGACTAGCAAAGCATATCTGTTTTTCAAAAACATCTCATTTTAGTCATAACTGGTACAACGAGAATGCAGTTAAGTTTCTGTTGATCACTTCTGCTTCTACAACTTCGCCTTTGTCTAGTTTTCCTAAAGAAAGCCCATTTTTGTTTGATAAATTAGCTGTGCGAGACGTGATCTCCTGTCTCAGCCTGAGCAATGACTTCATTCCAGACCACCATGGGAAGTAATTTGAGACCAATTATCTCCTTTAGAACACTACCGCATGTTATTCTTAAGGAAGCGATTCCACATGTAGTACGATTCTTAAAATGACTACCGGTTTTGCCAAAAGGTTAGCTATCCAGCACCTGTTGTTGCTTTTAGGAGGACGGCGTGAGCTGGGTTATCACCGAGCCATATGCAAACGACGGCGCTACAATTTCAGGAAGCAACGACGTGGTACATTGCTTTTTTTGCTGCCTAATTTAGCAAGCTTTATTCAAATTTCCAAATAACTTCTCGGAAACTCATTCATAGGTTTCCATAGGTATCGTTACAAAAAGAATTTTGAGTGACCAGAGAAAAAGCCGAATCGTATGAATATTAGACAAAGTGAAGTACAAATAGGGCAAAACGTTAGGGTCGACGGTCTACATCTTCTGTGCATTTCAGATGGTCCTTTTCCTTTTAGCGGGGCACTGGAAACCAGTTAAACCTATCACCGATCATATGCTAGCGAAAAATTTCTCTACGGCCTCCTTGAGTTTTCCTGGTGAAGAACTTAGACGAAGTAGCAATCGTAAGGATGTTACTAGCGCTCCAGCCCACAGTGTTTCTTCACAGTCCGACTTCAGCAAAGTGTATTCATAATACAGGTGGCATTTGTCATGAATAGCAAATACTCGGATCTTTAGAGAGTGAAGTCGACGCGCGGTCGATAAGCCTTTTATGCTTATAAACTGACCAGCATGTAATTTCTGTGTGGTCCTTATGGGTAGTAGGGATTCTATTCGCTGATGAGAGTGGTCATAAAATCCCTTAACTATGGGATATAGTCCCATGAAAATATTAGAATTTAATTTGAAGATGCTCCAATTTCTACATCAATGCCTCTCCAACACTAGAGTAAATGGTATACGTTACAAATCCAATGAGTTCGAACACATGTATGAAATCGCAGGCCGTAATAGTATCGCAGGTTGAACATTTATTTCGTGCTTTCCTTTTAGCGCGTGTAGCGCAGTGGTCGGAGGAGCTCTGCAACACACAAGTGGAATTAATGCTCACGCCTATGGCCCAGCAAGCCTTCCATCCCTCCGGGCTCGGCAAATTGGTACCAAAGTTGTCTGGGAGGATAGCAGCACTGGGTCGATATATCGGTAGGGCCCCTGCAAATCATTGTAAAGGTCAGATATGCATTCAACCACCTCCAAATGATGCTCAATGAAGTCCAATGCGTGGCACATCTCTCAGGGGTTGATCAACGTCGAGAATTTCATCCTTTATCTGTTTTAGCCTAAATGTCTTAGATATATTGTGCCAACGCAGACTGCCGTTGAATTACAGTAATCCCGTCATTGAAATGTCTACTTGGATTCTCATCGGATTTTGCATAAGTCATTCAACCAAACCAGTAAACAGACAGTTACTAATAGTCTTTAATTTAACCTCTCTACCATTATCGATGCTAATGTTTTTAGGTTTACAACCAGGAGCATATGTTGATCGGTTCGATGTTCGGACGGTTGCTGCATTGCGACGTTCTGAATCCGTCTATCACCTAATACCATTTCTGCTTGGAAATTCATCAGGTTATTCAAAAGCTTCGGAGGAGCTCTCCGAATGCAAAAAGAGGCGGCACCTAATTTATAGATTTCGTTTGTTCACTAAGTCTAACATGAAGAGATCGCAGTGCACCGTGGTGTGTACCCACCGAAGTATAGACTTTTCTTGTTCCTCACAATCTGTGATAAATGCATGACGATCTCCTACCACCATGATTGGTCTTCTTATGTGTGCTGATAAATAACTATCGTTTGTTGTATTGGGTGTTTCATCCAATATGCGTGTAAGAAACTACCAATATTTTTATCTCACTGGTGTAAATTCTCAGAAACTCTAAATGGAATAACAACATACAAACACTACACTCGGAATATAAATTGTTTATCAAGGCGCTGTTAAATTGTCTCAGGTCTGATGTCACAGTGGACGAGTTGTCTGCACACAGAACCAATGAGCAGTTGGTTGTTGTAGGGCACCGCGATCGACGACGACGAGATGAGGCGACCGTCGTCAGCGAACGGTTCACTGATCTCCCACGAGCGATATCCCTTCGAGAATACGATTCGTAGCACCTGTCAACGACAAGAAATCCATTCAATATTAAGAAGTGCGAGCGAACTACATGCTAGAGAAGCTAGGATTTCAGACAACGATTCGCCGTGGCTTATGAAGCAAAGTGAAAGCTATTTGTACCAAGTTAGTGCGGCTATCGTCTGATATTGTTTAATCAAGATTTAATCAATTCCACTGTTTAGTTTTGCTAGTCTTTTTGATTGGCCAATCGTTGCATGGCCATGGCAGCATTGATGCACACCATTGGTCGAGGACTACTAATAAGATAGCGGGCAAAGGATAACTTCTTATCACAACCATTAGGACTTTTCTACTAATAGATTACGGTAATGCGTTTCGTGCTCTATCGAAGGTAAACGGAAGACTACTAGTTGATTAGAGCACGGCGAAATGACTTCATCATTTGTCTGAGGTCTGTGGTCAGAGGATTAACGAGAAACGTCGTCATATTGACATGAGAAGTTCTGAGTAGGAGGACAAAAATCCTCACGATAAAGAATAGTTTTGGTCAGGAGGAAGAGAGATTGAGGAAAAATAATAGCTCAAGGAAAGCAGATAGATCGGGCTAAAAAAGCTAACATGAAAATGGCAATGAAAAAAATTGTGAAGGAAGTAAGAGGTGCAAAACAGAAGGAGAGCTACGAAAGAGTGGAAAACAGGTAAGAGTGCCAGAAAGGACACGAAACTGCTAAATCGACTACATTTAATTGTTCCCATAAGTGGAATTTCCAGGTGTCAGGCATCACACAATAATTTGAAAAGGCACGTTTCGTTTCAGAACTGGTGGAGAACTCTACCTGTGAAGGCCCGTAGACCTTTAGATCCTCGCAGTTACCCAGATGTTTTATGGCGTCTTTTGACACCGGATGAGCGCCCTGGAAGTGGAAACTGCTGAAAGTCAGTATTAAAGAAATTTTCAACACCGCTTGCACATCACTTCAAACGTTGAAACAACTGTGAAAATCTTCTGTCCAAAATTTGTTCTACTACAAAAGAACAACGGTTCAAAATTCCAGTAAGTCGGCAAAAAGGCCATTAAAATGCAACCTAGGGGCTGTCTGCCCATTTTACACTAACCGTCCACACCGCGCCGCTTTTGTCTATGTAGAGGTTGTCCGCCGATGTCAACAGTGGAATATCGGCTACATGTGATAGTGATCGGTAATCCTGAAAGTATCCGATCTAAAACAAAGCACTGCAGAGAATTTAAATGCATTAAATCTAGACCTGTTGTAACTTATAGACAGAGATCACTTCAGAGTTGATATGGGAGACGATGAGGTGAAGGCGTTCTTGATCAAGTGCTATGCCATTCGGTGAAACAGCACTGGACTGCAGCCAGTGGCTCACCTCAAGCAGAATTTAACTTCTTATGAAAAAACAGGCTGTTTATAGCCTGCTCTCTCTCACTATTTTCACGCTATTTATAATGAATTATCTTCACTCCTATATAATGCTAAGATATTTGCAAAACTCCGGACCGCAGATGTATGCTGTGGGGAACGAACGCGCTATTGTCCTTTCCGAGAAGTAGCGCACTTCACCACCACACCATGCGGGTCCTTCGTTTCGCCTGTCTCTCAGCTAGTTCTAGCTAAATAAAAGGGTTACGATTGTGTTTATAACTAAGCCTCAGCTTAACTGGGTTCAATTCCGATTTGGACTCCCCAGATCAATCCCGCTGACGGGTGATTGCTGATGGCAAAAAGATCGATAGAACTAGTTGAGAGACAGGCAAGACGAAGGACCCGGATGGTGTGGTGGTGAAGTGCGCTGCTCCCCGATAAGGACGACAGCGCGTGTTCGTTCCCCGCCGCATACACCTGCGGTCCGGAGTTTTGCAAATATCTCAGCATTACATACAAGTTAAATTTCGCAACATACCCTGCCATTAAAAAGAAAAAGGCAGTAAATAAAAGGGTTAAGAATGATCACTAACTTAGTTCTTCTTCACTTTGCAAAATACAGCAGAGTTAGTGGTTTCAACCAAACTAATTGCTACCATCTTCGCTTTTAATGCAAATTAAGTAAGTAGTACCTTCCCATCATAGAAAACAATACTTCCGGATGGATACATTGATAGAATTTCGAGCATGTTGAAGAGAGAGGATTGACTAGAGCCATCGTTGGACAAGATGAAAGCATCCTCAGACACCGCCACGAGATCGTTCGGTCTCAAAAGACTGATTTCAAGAGAAATTCTTCACCTCAAAAAACTAAGCCCTGGATATATTTGTTGATTTCTAATACCTTAGAATACATTTATAAAAGGGTAAAAAGGATAAAGCCGTCGATGTTGATCAATCCCTGGAGGATACCAAGCATTCGACTTCATTAAGCATCATTTGGAGGTGATTAAATGAATATCTGGCCTTTACAATAACTCGCAGTGGCCTACCGATGTACCGAGCTAGTGACGCTATTCTCCCAGACCGGTCTGGTACCAATTTGCCGGCTCTGCCGACCCCGGAGGGATGGAAGGCTTGGTGGGTAATGGGAGCGGGAATCGATTCCACGTGTGGGTTGCAGGGCGCCTCCGACCACTGTGCCACACGCACCCATAGAATACATTTATAGATAGGGTAATTAAAAGCAGCTACAAACAGCATGCTACCTGATAAATTTTTCATCCTCAATAATTTTAACCAGATTCAGCTCGCGCGCTTTACTATCCCAGTCGAGCACAAACACTGAGTGCTGGAACGATTTCGAATGATTGATGACGAATAGTCGAACTATCCCAAGAGAGGTGGTGATATGAGAGATGCCGTGAGGATGGAAGTTTTCCTTAAACAGTCATTTTGGCTTAGAAAGCTGCTCTTTCAGCGACTGTCCAGAATTTCTTCAGATTAAACTGAATCTAAACGAAAACTCGAGGCAATGGAGATGTCAGAAATCTTTCCGGAGAAAGGAATTCACTACAACTCATTTTCTACCTCCAATATCCGTTCTATGCGAGTTTTCCACCAAAGATGTTACTTTCTATTCTTTTTCATTCTCTGGTCTGCTTATGTTTCATAACATTTTGTTAAATAGAGCCTCCAAGACAGCCGCACAGCTCACCAACCTGGTCATATTTCCCATTTATTTTCACCGATACCACTTTCCAATTGTCTTCCTGCTTGAAATCGTAGAGAAATATCTGTCCTTTTACATCCTGGAACAATTTTTTCTCTGGTAAGTATTTATCATAATGTAAGAGCCGCATTAAATGGATTCACTAAAATCCGCCAAGCCAGCAGAAATGGGTATAAAAATAATCGCTAGCAAAATTTGATTGATTTTTGTTGTAGCTTTTGTACAACTAAACATATGGAACAGTTGACCTTTAAGAATATGACTACAACCGTACTGAGATATTTAGAAAACTCCAGACCGCAGGTGTCTGCGGTGGGGATAGCACACGCTATTACCCTTTCCGAGGCTAACGCGTTCACCGCCACACCATGCGGGTCCTTCGTTTCCCCTTTCTCTCAGCTGGTTTTCTATCTACCCGTGCCATCAGCAATCAACCCATCAACGGAATCGATCTGAGGAGCACAAATAGGCACTGAACCCATTTAAGCTATGACTTATACTACGAATATGATTTGCTTAACTATTTTTCATATTCGATGCACAAAACAAAGTGCAATGTCCTTAAGAATACTGATACATTGAAAAAATAAGTCCACGTATAGGGATCACCTTGCCGCGCGGTGTCAGGTACTGGACGCCAGAGGTCACGAATGCGATACCCTCGTCCTCAACTAAAGCGATGTCTTCGGAGCCGTGCTCTGAACAAATGTGCACACACGATAGAAACAAAACTCATATCACTCAACCAATTTACAATTACTGATAGAAGCATTCTGGTCCCCACTGGTAAGTGTCAGAGCATAATCAGGAGAAGCTGTTCGTGAACACAAACGAGCAAGCGGCCAGGAACTATTCTCCAACTTGCAAGAAAATGCTCTCCACCTTCCTATGCTATCTATCATACATCTCCTATATTGGCTGTGCATTGTCCGTTGTTGCTATTCACATCTAGTATATTACGAAATCATTTCAATTGAAATAAAAAACTTAATAACTTGAACCTCAAAGAGTCCATAGTTGAATGAGGTGTGATTTGTAATGAATCATAGATGTTTATAGAGGACCAGTATTTCTCAGTTATCTCACAATCTCAACTAAGAAAAGCAACTTCACAGCTGACCGATGGCAGTTCACTTACCAACTGCTTCCACTACTCGGCAAGGCCCTGGCCTATGATTGTACACTCTCTTGTTTACGTCCAACATCAGCCTGAACGAGAACTGAATACATCAAAGTTTTGACTAGCTCGCCATCTTAATTTATAGGAGCAAATGATAACATCCTTCAGAAAGTCTATTTAATATTTCCATAGAGTTTCAACAGATTGTTTAAGTTAGTCCGAAATCTGTTTGGATAATTTGAGAACCACTAACATAAATGACAACTAAAAAAGTTTTTCATCTGAAACCTAAAAGAAATCTAAGGGTTTTTAGTTTGACTGTTCTTTTTCCTGAGATAGAAGGCGCACATCTTAATACCGTACAAAGCTTGGAAATAAATGGTTGTAACCGCTCGAAGAACACTGTGTTTTGACTGCTAGTAATTGATACCCACTCATTACACGATTGTTCATATCGCATGGATACGCGTTATTTTTTCTCTTCCACTGTCAAAAAGAGATAGGAAGAAGGACGGAACGCTCCACTTCCGTTTTTCACACTCTCAACGAATGACCTCTATAGGTGTCATAAACGAAACAGCAAAGTGGCTGATATGAAATGTGTAAATAAAAGGATAAAGGATAAAGCTCTCGACGTTGATCACTCCCTTAGGGATGCGCCATGCATTCGACTTCATTAAGCATCGTTTGGAGGTGATTGAATGCACATCTGGGCTTTACAATGACTCACGGTGGCCTACCCATCGAGCAAGTGCTGCTATTCTCGCAGACAAGTCTGGTACCAATTTTAAAACCCCAAGGGATGAAAGGCTTGGTAGCCCATGGGCCTGGGGACCAATTCTACGTGCGTGTCGCAATGGTGCCTCCAACCACTGCGCCACACGCGCCCTATGAAATGTATAAGACTCATTATTTCGGTCACTTGATTTCAACTCGCAAAACTCCTTTTCTGCACGTTTTGTATTCAATAGATAGCTTATCCAACGGAAATGCTATGTCAAGTGTCGTTCATTGGAGGATACCTTCTTAGCAATCTCCTACCTAATTTTTCGTTTTGCGTGAGAGACTATTTCTGCTCAAGAGTGTGCGGCCTCGAAGTGTGGCCAGTGAAGAGCCGCAGAAACGTCTCTACCTCGAAGAACTGGGACCGCATGCAATGTGCAGCATCACTTTTGAGAAACATTTCGTTATTTTCTAATTTTGAATTGCTACGATGATTTATGTGTGTTGTATGGAAAGAGAAGTTATGAAAATCACAAGATAAACGTTGTATTCCTTGCACAACTTACTTACTTGACACTTGATACTTGAACGGGCCGTCCTGTGTCGAACCAGCACTGTGTATTCTGATAGAATGCATCAGTAACTACTGCGCGACTTCTTCCCATATACATATAAATGCACATGTATACGTACATATTGTATATATATATATATATATATATAATACGAACTAGCACATATTACACGAGCATGGTGCTAGTTCGATTCCGCTCCAGGGCAACCAAGCCACTAATCCCTCTGGGGTCGAGAGATTAGTACCGGAATTGCCTGGGAAAAAAAACCACTCTTTGCAATCCATTTGGAGACGCTCCAACCCGGCTATCTCAGGACTCCAAGAAGAATCGCTCGACAAGCATTCTACGGCATTCAAGATGAAGTGGAAATCCTCAAGTAGCAACCGAAGCCACACGCAAAGGTTGGAAGATCTTCGTAGGCAGTGGATGCGAGGAAACGAATAGAATATGAGGACTGCTGGAATCCCCACACATAGACGAGAAGACGGGTCAGAAAATAAAAATAAAAATAATTACAAATCTAAAGAGATCTTGCCGTTGATCAATCTATGAGCGATGCGTCGTGCATCCGACTTCATTAACAATCATTGGAGGTGACTGAATGCATATTTGGCCTTTACAATGACTCGCGGTTGCCTACCGATGTATCGAGTCAGTGCTGCTATCCTCTTAGACAAGCCTGGTACCAATTCGCCGACCCTGGAAGAATGGAAGGCTTGGTGAGCCTGGGGCGCGTGGATATGTATTGCACGGCGCCTCCGACCACTGCGCTACAATGCTCTATTTATATATATATATATATATATATACATATATATATATTATACACACCGTATATACTATACAGAATACATATTATATAGATATATTATACACGCCATATATACTATATATGTACATACGAAATAATACACATGTATTACATATTGCATATATATACTTATGTATACATATATATATATATATACATAAATGTGTATATGTACATATGTATGTATATATATAACGTCATGGGTTCCAAAATTTTAGGATTTTATAATGGTAAGACAAGACGACTTTTATTGTGTAGGCAATGATTTGTATATTCTAAAAGTTTGTGCTGAAGTAATTTCCAGGCACCACTTTCTATCATCTTCGGAATTTCAAAATTTTTTTATTTCAGATAATAAAATTTACCACTGAAACACGCTGATTTAAAATTGAACGCGGCTCTTTTTTTTAATATTGCATGACTCCCATAGAGGTCACCTTGTCGTGATTAGTTCTGGTCGAGTGTTCTCATAACAGCGGTTCTGAGCAGCATTTTGGCTATAGGCATCGATGGTCGCAAACACAGTTTTGTGTAATGCAATCACATCTTTCGACGGTGGTAGTGAGAAAACAACATCCAATCTCTGATGTGGTAAGAGAAGACACTCAGTGGTACGGGCACATGCCACAATAGATCAACATAACATATCATTGGTGAGTTTGCTAACGAATTTCCTTTAACTGTTTAGCAATGAGCACTACATAGTTGAACAAGTGAATGACTAGTGTGATACAGCCACAATGATGCTGAGATATTTGCAAAACTCCGGACCGCAGGTGTCTGCGGTGGGAAACGAACACGCTATTATCCTTTCTGGGGGCTATGACAATGAATGACTAGTCTTCAGAACGATTGTAGAGTCCCGGCACAATTTTCGAAAAATTGGCACATTGCTGACTTCAGATTTTTTCTGCCCAATTCTCAGTAAGTCCGTGCAAAGGCGTCCTCAGGTCGCCATCACGAGTAGTTTTCCAGCCCTTTAGATCACCCTGTGATTTCGGTTTCTTCAAAGAGCATGGTGAATCATGGCACTAGTTTACTTCTGAGCCAATTTCTGAGTGAAAAAAAACCCTGCTATGGAATGACCACCTTCTCCACAATGGCTTTCAACACCAAGGAATAGACATAGACGATGAGTAAGTAAATCATTGGAAGAAAAATCTATTTAGTAATGTTCGACAGCATAAAACAAGCAGAGTCATATTGTAAATGTTTGTAGTTATGCCATAGAATTCAATTTTACACAGAATGTCTGGTAGTGAACAAATACACCACAAAGCAATATTTCCAGTACCAACTTTTCCAAACCTTGGCGTAGAAATTCAAAGCCTTGATTTACTGATAACCTTACAGGACGTTGCTGAGAAACTTTATTGTGGCTGACGTTTCGGTTGCATCGTCTCCTTCAGAGCTCCGATGATTCGAGTCGAGTGTCCTCAGTAGTTGTTCTTTCTGGCGATATAGGTCTTCGTAGTCGCATCGAATCGAAGTGAGTGGAATGGTGAACCGCAGCAATGAGATAGAATCATCTCGGCAGAGCCCTCGCATGGACGACGCTTCTTGCCGTTGGAATGAAGTGAGGTAACTCGGCAGTTCCCCAAAAAAAACTAATGCTCGTAGTTTCACTGGAATTATTCGTTTTGCGAGTGATAATTCATCCTGAAGTAGTGGGAACAACATTACTAGCACTCAGCGAAGGAATTTTTTCAATACGACCTTGTCCACAAACATGGGTTATCGGTTATCTATGCTGAGCTGAAATGGAAGTCGGTGTTGAAAGGCGAGATCTTGTTTGTCACTCTTGTGTCTAATCGGTATCTTATTTATCACATACAGATATGGTGCCAACCGTGGCCCATGGAGATCTATTTGCAATACTTAATAGATTGCAAAAAACATTTCCGGGCTAATTTTTAAACGCACATATTGCGCGGCATAGTCAGAAGTGTCGGCCACACAAAATTAGGCGTAGTCGCGTGTGTGTCAACAAATGTAAAATAACTGTGCCTTGTCAATAACAATTTTATAAAGTGCTGAAATTATTTAGTTCCCTTCTTCCCATCAACAGAGCAGGCCATCTCAACAGATCTCTCCAGAAAGCTTTAAAAGTACCAAAAAACTTTATGAGTGTAATTCAGAAACGCACATGATCTTGAAGACATACGCCGTGATTGCACCAACAACAACCAGCACCACAAGGCAACGAATCATTTTCGAGGATTGTCGAGCGACGACGTTCTCCGGGTCTTTTCCAGGTAAGGCGTGTCCTCCGTGTTATTACAATCCCCTCCTGAAACGTGACCGAATCACATTTGAAGAGCCAGTTGAGAAATTCAGCCAGATATATGCCGAACATAAAACGATGAAGGATTTTGCTGTACAGACTGCTATAAGCAACAGGAAATCCTGGAATTGATGATTTATTCCTAGCTGGGTTTTCTACTTCCTGGGAAATTAACGATTTTCAGGATAGTTTGTACTGCTGGAAAGGCAAATTCTGTTGTGCATTGTAGTCTGTCACTACGGAAGGCATTGAACTGAGATGGTGAACTTCCAAAACTAACGAATCCACAATAAATATGTCGTCGAATACTCGAAATTTTCTGGATATGTTCAGGTTTTCAACATCAGCTATTCATTGGATCCCCGTCCACACAAATGCTACGAATATTTGAACTTCACTCTAACTAGTCGATAACGTAGTGTTCTGTTCGGAAGTATACGGAGTGGAGAGATGGCACTAAGGAGAGCGTGTTGATGAGGCCGACCACAGACGGTAGATATCAGGAGCACTGGGTCAATCATCTACGCCGCCACGACCTCTGGGCGTTATCAGACCCAGAACTGGTTCCCTAGTTCTGCATGGAGACACAACAACTGCCATTGATACTGTCATCTGATAATCACTCGATAGAACTCGTTGTTATCAATTAGTTCTGTACCTGAAGTGTAAAACGAAATCACAAGATAAAGAATGAAGTGTTCAGCGTTGAACAGTCCTCTAGGAATTCACCATGCATTCGACATCGCCGAGCAAAATGGGAGAGTTAGCTGAAACAGGGCGCGGGAGCGAACCAAAGATTAAGTGTGCATTGCGGAGTACCTCTAACCACCACGCCAAAACGCGCCTTTTTCGAATAACCGAAATAGGTCTTTGAGTGAAAATAACGAATCATTATCTAACACCTTCTTGAACTCCCAAAAAAAACATTGCCTAACAACTAATTGTTCTGTTGATTTATCTACTTAATGCCGTGAGGGCGCGTATGGCGCAGTGATCGGAGGCGCCTCACGACACATGGGATCGATCCACGCTTCCACAGTCCACCAAGCCTTCCATCCCTCCAGGGTCGGCAAACTGGAACAAACTTGTCTGGGAGGATAGCAGCACTGACTCGATACAGCAGAAGGCCACCGCAAGTCATTGTAAAGGTCGGATATGCATTCAGTCACCTCCAACGATACTTAGTGAAGTCAAATGCATGGCACAATCCCTCAGGGATCGATCAACACCAAGAGCTTTATCCTTTTTTATCCTTTAATCCATGAGAAAATAATATGTGGCAGACAAAAAGTTAGACTTCCTACTTACTATTCACTTCCATTGTTTATTTCTTCCAGTCATCTGCAGCATTCATGGTATCGAACTGCGATACGAAGCAAAGTTCCATCCAGGGTCAGAATCCACCAAGCTGAGAAGTTTGGATTCTCTATCTGGATATCCAGTTAGAAGCAAACCAATTCCAGCAATCAGCACCCCTTGGAAGAAATCCAATCGTAATCCGGAAAGCCTCCATTTAATCCAGAAGGACAGCGAATATCTGCCATTGCAATCAGAGAATTTCCTGGCACAGTCATCTAAGGAATCAGAAAACCAGTTCTCAGAAGTCCTTCACACCCAGCTACGTACCAATTAAATGACATTTGTGCTTGAACTGATATGATTCTTCATAAAGTACTCAAGAGACTTCTGATGTATTCAATTATTTCGCCTTTCCAGGACGCAACAAGACCTGTCTGGGAAGCAGTTCTCATGTTCTTGTCTTGGCTAAATTCACAGAAAGTCCTAAATTTCCTATACAACGTTTAATTAACCGTAGTTGACAAATGAATGAATTTCCTCTTGTTCAGAGCAGCTTCTTGGATCAAGTATTTACTAAAAGCTAGCTCTCAAAGCCTTCAACATAGATTTTCTTCTGTTTTAAAAGAGTTGCGATGGAGATATTCAATTTCTACTTTCGCTGACTCCCGGTATGAATAGTCAGCTTATTGATGAGCTTACACGAGGGTGCTATAAATCTGTTATGGCTGCCCAGGCGCTTTCACGCTCAGGAAAGTGTCGACGGTTCGGCACGAGTTGAAGTAGGCATCGCGCTAAATGTTCTTTGTCCTCTTCACTACGTCTTCAGAGTACTTGTAAACACTGCTTGTTTCTTTATGTTCAGCTCAGGGACTGAGTGGTACATCGCTTGCCGACCTCGACGTACGCAGCTGAGGCATTTGAAGATACCTGGTTTCTTTGACATGAATGGGTTTCGGCAACGAATCTGTTCACCACAAACACCATCTGTTCCAAAATGGACGGCAAACCGACTTCTCCACAGACGCGGTCTAAATCACCCAATAAATTCGCTGGCAAGTTAGCAATGTTGTTTGTGTGACACAAGGTCGAGTATGTTATTGATCAAGCTGGAGTTAGAAACGCCTCCAATCGTGCGTGTCGTTTGCCACAACCGCCGACACTGTCGTTTCGAGCCGTCACCCTGCTACGCACCCGTCGGACCACATCACGAAATCACTTGTCCCTCCGGACCAGATTCCAGAGTCACGTATCGATTTGGGAACAGCAGCTATATCAAGATGACGACCGATGGAGCATCGACTGTCATGGTCGCTTATTGGTACGAAAGCTTTCCTTGCCAGTAACTAGTGGAGAAGAGGGCGATTGGGTCCGGTCGGGCGCAACGATTTGAATCACGCTCCAATGACTAAGATTCGCGAGCGCTGGGAATGGCTGCTGGAACGCGCGCAGTGCGAAATGTCATTATCGATTTTTGCGGCAGGCGGACAGGTCGTCGTTCCCTCAATGCGGAGGTCGCCTTCGGCAGTTCCACGTTCCCTGCAGCGGGTGGGTCGTTGATCCACCCAGTCAACAACCCTCTCGTTCATCCATAAAGATTCCCTGGCTTATCACCTGTCCTTGTTCTGCTTGAAGTCTTGAGATCCGTAAGATTAAGCGTTGTGAGTTGGAAAATTGGACTACTTTTGTCCTTTTATGGACTGGTCTTTTCGAAAAAGAAAAGTGGGTGGTTATCAGTGGGCACATCCGTTGCGTGTGTGATAGCGTTGACAAGACGAGTGACAAAGTCCGGCCAGATGCAGACCATTTTAGTTCCTGACATTTCTATCCACTTCTAATTGTCGTTTTTCATATTTCATTGCTGTAACAGTAATCGTATAGTTTTATTGATTTGTGGTAGGCTTCTGAATCATTTTGTTGGATTTCCTGTGACGGTGACGATAAGCATTCAGACGATAAGCATATTTCTCTGCTGCAGTTTGATTTCCTCATTGTCTTTCATATGTTGTAAAAAGCTAGGTCCATTCCCTGGTGTTACTCTCGCAGCCGGCATTCCTAGCGGTTTGTTTCATTCTATCTAAGTTGAGTTCCTATCTGTCCTTACTTCGTTTTGATTTCAGAGCAGGAATGGCATGTGGTCTGGCGTTGAAGCGCCCACATGAGTACGACCCGTACTTGGCGGACGAGACGTTTTCCCATGAGGCGAAGCGAGCCCGTCATACAGCGGCTCACTGCTCACCATTTCGTCCTCAAATGGGTACGATAGCCGCAAGTCTTCCATCTACTAGCAGTTTCGCTCAAGTTGTTAGCAAGGTCTGTGTGTTCACAATCACTGCTGGTTAATGTTCACTGAATTTGGATTTCTTCGTCATTCATTAAAAAACTAGCTGATAGAAAAGCGAAACGAAGGATCCGCATGGTGTGGTGGTGAGCGCGTTAGCCGCCGGAAAAGGTAATAGTGTGTTCGATCACCACCGCAGGCACCTGCGGTCCGGAGCTTCGCAGATATCTCAGCATCATTGTGGTTAGAACGAACTGCTTGATTAGCTTGGTTCCAATCAATAATTCTTTCGTTTAACTGTAACGTTGTCGTTTTTGGAAGTTGTTTTCTGCCAGCTGCTCTGTTCAGTTTGTATGTGACTGATAATTCGTCGCTTTTGCAACAGAGATTTCGTAGATGATTAAGGGACCAATCGGTTTTTATGATGTGGAAGTCCCTCAGTTTCTGTGTGTGTCGTTTCTGTGCAACAACTTTGGTAGGCTTTATGATTTCTTCAAAGGTTCATGAAGTTAATCGCAGCCACTTATTCCAGATTTCTCAATGTGGTTCTCGTGCCAATTTACTACCACTTTTTTTAGGACGATTCTCCTTTTGCGGCTGTGGCTGGTAAATGTCAACTGTCTGAATCACAATTAGACGCTTATCTTCGTTCAGAAGTCCGAAATGGCCAGCGCAGGAAGCTGATACCTAGAAGGAACTTTCTGGATGTAAAGATCGAGGATGTTGATACTCTACGCAATGATTATCGTATACCAAACTCTCCTCCTCAGGTATACTGGTGTTGATTACGCAGTGCTAGAACAGGAGAACGGTTGTATTTACCATACTCACTTAAAGAGATGGGTTCACATAACGTATTCATTGAGTTGTTTTGTAAACAGAATTAAGATTGAGGGATATTTTCATTCTTTCTTCATGAGTGCTGTTTTCTGCAGTTTGTGCTGTCTATAAAATTAGGAACTATGTTCCTTTCCTCGAATGTTTGGAATTGTTTTCGATTGCCCGTTAACTAGTAGCTTCCATTTTTTAAGCTCATAGTGCCTTGGAAGCTGTCAGAGTTTCTATTTATTAATATAGAATGCTATTAGGAGTCTATGTGTCAAAATCCACAATAATTCCTTAAGTTCGATATCATTTCTTGCCCTAGCGTCTCAGACTTTTCGTTTTCTACCTTTACTTCGCTTCTTATCAACGTTTTCAGTCTGGATCGGATTCAGAAGGTGAGAGCTCTAATATTCCTAAGGATGGAACCAATAATTACCAGGCCCTAGCCGAGAAGCCTCAGTTCAGTTTAAAGCAGGTGTGGTTAAATGTTAACTGAGAAGCGTTTTTTTAGTATTCACTTAGACGTATTAAGGTACGGATGATTTGTGAACGTCTTCTCAAAGAGCAGGAAATGCGTCTTCGATACGAGTATGAAATAGCCCTGAATCAGAAACTTGACGGTACGTTAAGTTTTTTGTGTTAGCTCCTAATTAAAGGGTTCTGAAGTGCTAAGAAGTGTATATTGATGGGGTAAAATGCATAGCTTACGTAGAAACTAGGAAGGATACGAATTTAGAACCATGGAGACCATATTTAGTTCAGTTTTATTTGGCGTTTAGCATGGCGATAAGTTGAAATCAGTGGAATCCTGATAATTTTGGGTTAATCCGAAGTTTTCTGACGGAGAATACGAAGATTGAGGATAGTATTCTTAGAGTGTATATCATTGAATTTCATTTTCAACCCTACGAAAATAGCGAGATAATGGAGTGGGTGGGAGTGGCTCAGAAAGATTCAAGACATCTTTAAATTTCCTTTTTCGGCATCCTGTAAGAGTCCACACAGACCTATAAGAGTATGGTTTTGTTTTCAGCACCGTTTTAGCACTTTTCTATTTGTCTAATTCAATATCTTTTATATTGCAATGACAGTGTTCCACTTTTGTAGTGTCATAGGGCTTTTTAAAAGACGTGTGTGGCGCAGTGGTCGAAGACGCCCTGCATTATACATGGGATCGATCCCCGCGCCCATGGCCCGCCAAGCCTTCATCTCTCCGGGGTCTGCAAATTGGTACCAGACTTGTCTGGGAGGATAGCAGCACTGGCTGGTTACATTGGTAGGCCACCGCGAGTCATTTTAAACGGCAGATATGCATTCAACCACCTCCAGCGTTACGTAATGAAGGCGAGTGCATGGCGCATACCTCAGGGTTTGATCAACGCCGAGAGCTTTATCGTTTTATCCTTTATAGAGCTCTTTATTTCACAACTTGCATTATCTCGAGGAACCGCGCGGTTTTGCTATATCAGCTATATTTACGCTGACAATAACTGGCCAGTACAAAAGACAAAATGGAGAAAACTTCTTAGAATTAGTAATGGTATTCATTTCAGAACAACATGAACAGTACGTCCAATTCGCAAATGAACAGCTGGTATCACACTATAAGGAACATGTCTCTGGAGAATTTTCTTACCTTTCTTAATTGTTGACCTAATTTCGCTCGTCGAAATGGGTGTCTCCTATTGGTATGTTGTATTTGGTTTTGTCGTTAACGAATCGTTCTACTTTCACGCATATGAATCTTGTTGCCGCCGTCGTTTAGTGTCTTTGAATTCAGGTCAACTGTTTCTCATATGTTTGTGTATATATCTATCTATAGTAGATTTCCGCCTGCTTGGTATCATCTGAGCCTGCGCCTTCGTAATCTGACAGTTGGGGAAGCTTGCATCTTGATTCTTACCATACTTGTGATTTATTTCCTTGTCTCGTCGTATGTAGTATTACGGTACTATAATAAATATTTTACACGAATGTGTTTTATGGCGGTTGTATCGTAAATTCGCTGCTATTTAATATCGCATACATTGTGATAATAGTAATGGTATTTGTTATACATAATTGTAAAATATGTGGGTCTTTGCATAACTGGATAATCATGTGGTAATGTTTGGATACTTCGATGGCCCGTCTTCACTGGTTGTGCGGACCCAGCATAATTCCCACTTTTTCGGAGTTCTGTGGGTTTAGCGATTGTGGTTCCGTAGGGTACCGAGGTCAGCCTAACCAAATTCTGCCCCAGGTCGTCACCACATACAGTCGCCGTCCTTGTGGATCAGTGGGAGGTTTGCCATCATGCGACTTTGATACTAGGATGGTGCTGGATCCTTGTATTGGTCTACGTTTAGCTAGGCGTCTTGATGGGAACGCCGAACTTCTTTTCAGACCCTGCTGGTGGGATGAATGAATCTCCTGTACATCGTAGCCGGAGGACACTCATGATCACCTCTCAGGCGCAATGACGCGGTGAACCGCTGGGAAGATGTGGTAATACATGAATCGAAAATCAGCAAAGAACGACTTGTGATGGGGGGTATTTACGATGGGGCTTAAAGATGTAGGTTTCACTGTATTGAGATCTAGAGCATGTGGCTGTGTGCGATGTTTAAGTTGGAAGCTGGACTAGAGGTATGGAGTGTATTAGGAATGTCCATTGTTGTCGTTTTAGTCATACCTAGTCGACAGAGATGGATGTCGTCGGTCTAGTGTCGGGAGGAAAAGACAGTTGCTACAACATGATGTGTGCAGTTGATGCTGGTCATCGCGTAGTGGCTTTGGCTAATCTGCATCCTGGTGATCGTGGAGAACTCGATTCATACATGTACCAGAGTGTTGGAGCCGAAGGAGTATTGGTGAGATAGAATTGATGTTTGGCGTATTTGAGAGAATATACACAAAGTCAGTTGACTGGTAACAGGAGTGAGGTGGTGTCTGTGGTGCAGTTCTAACCGCCTCTGGAGGTGTGTATTTTGCAACGTTGTTACTTCGAACCTGGTCAGTTTGCTTTGTGAATGTATTCTCTGAGTGTTTCCGATACATCGGTCTTTTGTTTTTTATAATTTAAACTTCACAGATGATAGCACAAGCAATGGGCTTGCCGCTGTATAGAAGAGAAATCACGGGATTACCAGTAAACAAGAACTACGATTACTGTGTATGTATGGTTCTTCTATTTTATAATATCATATTATTGTACTAATTTGTCCCACCTGTTGTAGTCAACTTTTTGGGTTTGGGATTTGTTCTGTAGATCTCATTCTACAGATTTAATATACTTTTGCCTCCCACTGGATTGTAATGCTCATTGTGAAGTTCACTGTTTAAAGTTCACACTGGCGCAAAGTTTTTTACTGTTTTCTCGGCTTTTCATAGGCGATTTCGCCAAATATTTTCCAGTGATATGTTCGATGAAAAGGAGCGTAGCAAAAACCTTGGATAGAAATGGGTTGGTCAGTAAATTGTCGATTCCAAAAGGTAACAGGAATGCTTGATTGGTGCGAAGCGTAGTCAAACCATGTAGGAGTAATGTCTGTTGGCGCAGTAGCACACATTGAGCGTCCTTGGAGGTGATTAAATGCATATCTGGCCCTTACAATGACTCGCGGTGGCCTACCGATGTATCGAACCAGTGTTGCTATCGTCCCAGACAAGTCTGGTATCAACTTGCCGATCGGCAGGGTTGGCAGCCTTGGTGAGGCTGGAGCGCTGCCGTAGATCTCATGTGTATTGCTGGGTGCCATTGACCACTGCACCACACGTGCCCATTAGGTAACCGAAAAGGTAATTTTATTGGTATGAAACGTAGTCAAACCATGTAGAAGTAAATGTCTAGTGGCTCAATGCCACATCATGCCGTGCTTATTTCTCGATGGACGAAATTTAATCATTCAGAATAAGGATAAAATGGTACTTTTTATTTTATCACATAAATAAAACCTCGAAACAGTGAATGTATGCGTTTCACTAATAAAGAAACATGTAGTCTTGCAGCCGACCACGGGTGATGAGGTGGAGGATCTCTACGAGCTGCTGAATCGTGTCAAGAAGCAGCATCCCAATATTGAAGGTGATCTAGCAGTATTCAACTCAGTGTTTAGCTATCCTACTTCTTTGTCGATATGTATTTTTCACACAGCATTTCCTCCTTGCAATTTTTGCAACCGTTTGCACTAACATTTTCAGGTGTATCAGTTGGGGCTATATCATCGTGCTATCAAAAGCTGCGCGTGGAAAACGTTTGTAGGCGACTTAATCTTCTTCCTCTCTGTTATCTTTGGGAACGGGACCAGAACGTATGAAGCGTGCTCCAGTTCTTTCTGCATTTCTGCATTTTATGTTTTCGAAAATCGACCATTTAAGGAGTTGTTGCACGAAATGCTCTCCAAAGGATTGGATGCTATTCTAGTTAAGGTTGCTGCTATTGGCCTTGACAGGACCTATATCGGAAGGAGGCTTTCCGAGGTATGCTTGGAAAAATATTTGATGCCGTGAGCGATATTCTTTTGGTTTAGGTCGAATTGACGCTCAATCGACTTCATTCTCAATTTGGTGTCCATCCTTGTGGTGAAGGTGGAGAATACGAAACATTTGTTATCAGTTGTCCGCTTTTCCAGAAACGAATTAACGTTCTGGATTCTGAGGTACTGCTACTTCAGTGATAATTCATATAATGGTCCTCATTTGACTACCAGAACTTCAGCGTTTTTAAAAATACCTTGGCAACGACATGTGTCGTACATGGCTCATTTATTCCTCTGCGCAGGTTTCTTGGTGCTTTCTTTTTAATCGTTTGGTGGTTTATCCAAAAAACGTGATGGGGCGTGATTCTACCCAAACAAAATGTTTATTTTACACCTTTACAGTGGGACCTTCAGATTAGTTTCTTCGTCTGATTTGGATCCTACTGCGAGGTCTTATATGTCTACTGTACTTCCACTCTGAAGTTCGAAACTTCAGAGAGAACGGAGACGACATATGTCCAAAATAAGGTGGCAGCTCACTGAGGGAACACTTGCAAAAATGTTTATAGCATGCAGAAGGACTAGTTAGACATGCACATTGCTCAGTAATCAGTGTGTTTTCACAAACTATAGCTTTTGAAACACCAGATAGTCTCAACTCCATGCTCATTCCGTTTTACTGGTATTTTAGAGGTTGTGCTACATAACATCTGTATTACATTCTCCAGAACACTTGTATAACCTAAAACCATCAGTACTCCCAAATTTTGCAACATACACTTTTTACTCAGGTTTGCGCAGAACTAAGCCATTACAGGTCTTCAACATACATAGTTTGCAATGTTTATTTGCATTTCCACGTTCTATAACTTATACAATTAGCTCTTTCTGTGGTAATTTTTGGAGCACACGTTTAACCAGAAATCCACAATTGGATTAACAAAATGAAATTCTAGATACTTTGTTGTTTATGTGGATTGGCAGATTGCTATCCTACCCCCTAAGGGCAGGAATAAGTTGTCGATACAGATGTCTTTGGGTATGGATATATTAGAACCACCGAAATAGATTGTCTGTTTCACATAGGTTAACCAAAACCCGACACCAATGTGGTCGTATGGTGACCAAGGTTTTTGTACACACAAAAGTTGGCTGTGTTACAACAACTTACAAAAGTACATAGAAGAACTTAGAGGACCGAAAAGATTTGAAGAACACAAAAAACTAAATGGCTTAGCGAAGAGAACAAAAAATGTCGAGGACACTTTCCTAATAGCAGAGATATGCATCATATATGACTCATCGAGTGATGACCAAACACTAGACTCGTTGCTAATGTGTTTGTTGGAAGTTTATTTTCATTTTACATCAATTTTAGGTTGTTACACATCAAGATGATCCCGTTGCTCCAGTGTACTATCTGAAATTATTAAAGCTGGCACTTACTGAGAAATAATTGTTGTTATAATTCCGGTATTGATTTTCCTATAGGTTGTTTACGGTAGATTTATATACTCCTGTTTCTTTAATCAAATCTTTAGGTTATAACTCGGTAGGTACGAATATTCTACCAGCTAATTCTTTCGCGACATTATAAACCCTATGGTGCCCACTTTCAGTTTGGTGGATTCCAGAACGTTTTTACCATGCAGAAAGGGTAAAAAGGATAAAGCTCTCGGCGGTGAACAATCCCTTTAAGGGTGTGCCATGCATTCGACTTTATTAGGCATGTCTGGCCTTTACAATGACTCTTAGTGGTCTACCGATGTATTGAGCCAATGCTGCTATCCTCCCAGACAAGTTTAGTACCAATTTGCGGACCCCAGAGGGATGGAAAGCTTGGTGGGTCATGGGCGCGGGGATCGACTCCACGTGTGTGTTGCAAGGCGTCTCCTACCACCGCGCAACACGCATCCCCTACCATACCATTTGTGCCAAATAGTAGCAAGCACATCGTCCATATTCATAGGACGATAGGTCACTTTCTCGCGAATGGGTTAAATACCTGTACAATTGGTTATTGTTAAATCATCATAATTGTTTGTAGCTAATGCGGTTCCATTCTTTCAGCTAAATACGTGCTTCAGGTTACAATTCGATTTTTCGGTTGTTCAATCAATTAGGCAAATATGCCGTTGTTCGTTGTTGAGTCGTTATGCAATATCCTTTGCCATTTGTACTTTGTTCACAGTTAAACATATTTGTTATATTGGATGACATATCTGAAGCGTTGTTCATGCTATAAAGATTTGTCTAAGCGTTGTCTTAATATTTGTGACACGGCTTTTCCCTTCGGTTTGTCGTCCACTCTTCACAAGACAGTGGACGACGTGCATGATTTCTGTGCAAGCAATGCTAACAGTGGTCGCCATTTTGAGCTCTAAACCGTACCTTAGCTTACAATGGACATTATGGGTTTGAATAAAAACCATTAGAATTCACAGAATTAACAAGGTACGGCTTCTTTCATCGTGGAACTAGAAGAGTATAGCTTCCATAAGTCCATGTAACGTTTTCCCTTTCTCTTTGTGGATGTTCACATTTTGAACACCGTGTCCCCTAAGCGCCAACGATCTCGTGAAGTTGTACGTGCCGTTGATCGCAGGACGTATCGTTGTGTTCGCTGCTGCCGCTCTTGCGTTGGAGAGTTCAAGAATCTGTTTTGTTTCCATTTTTTCGCAAATTCCGATCCTTGGGAATCGAATTCTGTTTAACCTTTGTATGAATAAGTAATAGCTTATTAGATTGTTGAGCACATTCTAGGTCGCTAATAAGTCTTATTCGGCTTACGTTTCTTCTTCGTCTTCTTCGAAACCGGGTCGATTCGAGTAGGTGGGTCACAGGTGGTCGTCCAGACTATGTGGTCCGTGGATAGATCAACATTCGTCCTGTATAGAAGGGCAGCGCCGAATGAGATTCTTCATTTGAGTGGTGCTCCACTTCACTGGACTCGACTCGATGCCACAGCGAACAATCACATGGTGAGAACGACCAGCTATGGACCATTGATTTCGATCAACGCGACTCTGAAGAAAGCGAATGTGCCGAGTGATTGCCCGAATGAAATTTATTACCAAGCTAGTATTTGTTTCCTAATCCAAAGAACTATTGCGACAGTAGCGCAGTGGTAGTGATGTGGATCAGCACGAACAAGGCAGTAGTTTGACTCGTACCGAAGCCACAAAGCCCCCATCCCTCTGGGGTCGGAATATTAGTACGATTCATGTACGATCGCTCAACTCACCCAAACCTATAGAAGCTGGTATTGGCCTGTGATAGAAATCTAGGAATGTCCGAGCATGGTTATCTGAGGATTGTAGCGAGAAACGAGTCGACAAGCATTCAATGATTTTCGTAAAATAGACCGAAAATCCCTAGGCAGCAGCTGAATCCATATGTGGGAAGTTTGAACCATCGTGGATGACGGATGCGACGAAGTGAATCGAAGGAAGGAGATGCGTAGTTTGTACGAAATGTGATGTCGGGTGATGTAAGATATAATAAAGCAAAACTATATGTATACCCTTAGAGTGATAGAGGAAAACTTCTCCCATAAGGCTATAGAATCCTGAAGTCCTCGAATACTCTAGCTATGGAAAAGATTATCGATAGTTGTCAAAGAACTTATCACCTTTCGTTATGTGTAATAAATAACCCTCCTCATCTGGTAAAGTTGAGACATTCAGATTTTTGACTTATGATGACTTTTTCGACTACAGATTTCCTCTTCTAAAGAACGACTTCTCCGGAAGCGACCAACGGTAGTGGCAAAGGTGTCGTGTGTGTCGTAGTTTTTTTTCTAATGATTGGTAGGACGCATGCGAACTTGACTAATTCGTGCAAGACTAGCCCAACGGATTCTAATGGCCCGAAAGATTCCAAAAGCATTCTAGCTTCCGTTAAGGAGATATGACTGCCCGCGATGGTGGAGACCTGGGGCAGATTTTGGTCAGGCTGACCTCGGGATTCTAGGGAACCACAATGGCTTAACCAGAAAATCTCCGATAAATGGTGATTATGCTGGGGCCCCCACTACCAGTGAGGACGGGCCGTTCAAATGTCAAGTGTCAAGTGTATCTTGTTGTAGTGAGTACATGAACAAAACTGGCCCATATCTCCCAACCATAAACATTAGATAAGAGGTGCCGTTGTTTACAGCAATCGATGCTCATATCGAAGTTCATATTGACAAGGTGAACTGCACGAATTCCTCCTTATCGCGGATTGAGAGAAAAGGTTCTTCAATATCAACCTCCTGTCCGCTCCATGAGGATTCGCCTCGTAGCCTAGACTGTAACCGGCCAGTTACCTCTCAGTGGCAGAGGTCTGTCTTATCGAGAGTATTTACTTAATTTCATTGATTACATGACCCGATATCACATTTGTGGAATTCCAGCCATTCTTGCATTCGATTAATTTCCACGCACTCACTATCTACGAAGGCCTTCGAGGCTTTTGTGTGCAGATTCGGCTGCTATTTAAGCATTTTTAATTTTCGTCATGAATGTCGTTGAATTCTGGGCGAGTCGATTCTCCTTGGAATCCTTGGATTGTTGTTCTGGTGTGTCACGACGCGGATTGAAGGTAGTAGGCTGATCTCAGCCTAGTCTGGTACTAATCCCACAGGGATGCGAGGGTTGGTGGACGTGGGGATCGGTGCAAAAGGTCATAGAAAAGTAACAATGAGAGGCATTCTACGGCAGACCATAGTTCAACTAGTTGACTATTTCATGATTCCTCTTTCAATAAATCCATTAAGGCCTCACGAATATACCTAGTCTCCTATGAATCACTGAATTGAAGTTTTATCCATTTATGGATATGAAAATCTTTGCTCCAACTATTACATCTTTTACTGCTTACCAAATGACCAGACATCGCATGTATCACACAATGCGGATCCAAGCACTTATTGCACTATCTTAGTTCCCTCGCATCCATCATCCACAAAGGTCTTCAAACGTTTTTTTTGCGCGTAGCTTTGGTTGATCGAATCTCTTGGAATATTGAGAGGGCTTTCCTATGGCGATGTCACTGTCCTCGCACATGAATCTAAAACATCAACGCTAGGATCTCTTGATGCTTTCTGGACCAGTTCCAAAATCCTAAAATGAACTGGAGGGAGTGTTTTGATCAAGCGTGACCTCGCGTTATACATCCAGCTGATTTTTGGCCTGAGCCAGGCACATTCCTCATCC